TCTATCTTAGAAAGCTGCAGGGTTGGGGGAAACATGGCCACTCTGCTGTGGACAGGCAGGCCTTTGGAGCACTGGTACTGCTCAGTGGTTGAGCTCGCACCCATGCTGCAAAATGGGAAGGTCATCAGGCTGAGCAGAGACAGCAATGAGGCTCCTGCCTTCAATCTGATCCTTAGACATGACACATCCCCTCATTACTGCTAGCAGATGACGAAGAAATTCCCACAGACCAACTTGGGCAGTTGGCATAAGGGGCCCTGTCGTATTCAGTTTTAGCTGCCGCTTCTGCTGTGGCTCTGGGGAAATGAGAAGGGGCAGATAAGGCAAGACGGCGCAGGACGAAAATTCCCCAAAATCTCAACCGGGCCCAGCAGGGACCAGGCAGGAAGAAAGCCAGAGGCAGATTTTGTTTCAAGCTGGAGGCTCCCCACCTGAGAAAAGGCAGGAGCTAAAAGGAGGTTAAACTGCCAACTTACCAGAGTTACCAGAACAAAGGCTTCTGCGAAACGTTGCCTCCCACCAGCGTTACCTGGCGTACGACAATCACCATATTTGTACGATCGTTTCAACCCTTGTACGACATATGATCAAGAACAGTAAAAGTGTTCAAAACGTGCTCGTTTTTGAGGCCACTTACTGATGCAGCACATGCAAAACTCAAGTCGCTGTTAGAGTCTTAACTGACTTTGGGGTTTGCCGTCAGCACTATAATAGAGAAATGCTTCAACTTGGATGCCCCAGGTCTCTCTCACTCGCAAGTTACAGCGAGCAACGGAAAATAAAGAAGATTTATTTGCACGTTTCTTTCTCAGCCTACTGTAGTTTTCCAGCAAACAGGATCATTTGGAGCTTCCAATACGATCCTTTCACACTGAAGACCTGGCCGCGCGGCCTCCCGCACGGGGCTCGCCCCAGGAAGGAGCCTTTCCCCCTTCCTCAGGGGCATGCGGGGAAGGCCCAGAGAGAGGCGGGGAAGAGAGCGAGCGCGCGGGGCCGGGCTGCTGCCTCCCGCGCTACGAGAAGGAGCAAGTGGGCTGCGGGTTGGGCCCGGCGCCCGCGGGACTCCCGCCAGACCCCGCCACAGGCCCTGGCCAAGGAGACGGGAGGGGAGCCGCTGCAGTCGGTACCTGCTGGAGACGCCGTCGTTCCTGCCCGAGCTCCCACGCGAACCGCCCCGCCCCGCCCCAGGGGAACGTGCGCCAACGCCAGCCAGCCCCACCCCACCCCGCCCCAGGGGAACTTGCGCCAACGCCAGCCAACCCCGCCCCCAGCCACCCGCACTGCGCATGCCCCGCGCAAGGCTTCCTGGTAGTCCGGCGTGCGGCCGGGGTCCTCCTTCTCCTTCGCATACCTCCCATTGGTCCCTGCTCCCCACCGGTGGTGACGTTTGCAACGTGCGCATTCGGCGCGCGTCACTTCCGCAAACAGAATGTCGGTAGAGCCCGCTCGGTGAGCGCAGTGCGGGGCAGCTCCGCTCGGGCCAATCGGAGGGCTGGATGGGGGCGAGGCGGCCCCTCGGGGCCGGGCCGT